GAAGCCCCTGTGTTTGAACTGTACTTATTGCACCTGTGTGCGTTACAAGTTGACACTTCATACGTCATGCCCAACTTATTATGGTCGTCCTCTGTGTGTGAGAACATTTCCCCCTCTTGTCTTATTGATGCCGTTCCAAGTTATGTAACTGCACACTATGCCACAATAAAGGATTAGACCAACTTTGAGAAGATAAGCTTCATAATAATAATAAGCACTAGCGGCACAGAGCTGCTTTTTCTGCGAGGCGTCTGTGTTCGTATCTCGTTCGCCATCAACAGTTGCAGCTTCCAGCCACAGTTCATAGGTAAAGCAGTTTAGTCTGGAGCTGTCTTCTAATTTGGATCTGTATATTTTCTCTTTCTCTCGCGTGGTTATTCAGTAGTTCCTCTAATACAGTAACTGCACAATTATTTGTTCATGCAATTCTTGCTGTATCTCCTAACCGAGCCTGCGTCCGTCTTTTCCCACCCTTTGCTTTTCCTCTCTAGATATCCTGTTTATATGACACGCACAGTTGTAGAAATATTACGGAAACTGGGAGTCATTTCAAGATACAATACACACTTGGTTTGAGTGTGTCTGAAGGATTTGTTTTCAACAACATTTTGTAAACATTGTCACTGTGGTGCAGCGTAGCACAAAATTGGGCCTTTCCATAAGCCAGCTTGGATCTTAAAGAGGTGTTTAAAAAAAAAAGTAACTAAAGGCAATTGTTTTATTTTATGCATGTGCAAGAACACATGTGCAATCATGTGTGTATATCTCTGTGTGTCTGTATCTGTGTGTACACAGCATAGGTCGGAAAAGGGTTGTACCACAGCAGCTGTGGAAGGAACAGGGGAAGGAGCCCGGAGGAAAAGGCGTAACTGCAGCCTGTCGACCGCCACTTCCACTACCCTTGCCACGGAGTGCAATAAAACATACGCTGCAGACAATTTCACACTCGAACACGCCATAAACACGTATGCACCCACATAAACAGGGAGACCATAATGACAAAGTGCAAAGCTGACCACTGTTGTAGATGCACTGACCTCTTCTTGTAAAATGTCATGTTACTGGAAAAATGACAAGTAGAAGTTTGGGTTGAATCCACTGAGTGATGGTCGCGGAAACTAAGCGAAGGGGATAATTAGAGTAAAACTGTGTGGGTCTGGGTTGCTGTGGTTCAAACAAATGAATGCTCATTTTGGGCGCGCTAGATTTGCATTGATTATACCCTGTGCTGACTGTAAATTGAGCTGTTCACTATATGCAGACACTCGTTTTCTACTCAAAGCTACTCAACTTTTAGCTTTACCGAAATCAAAATCATCCACAAAAGAAAATAGCATAAACTATAAATTTCTTATTGATGGTGAGGATGAACTTTTTTGTAAAAATTGCCGGTAATGTTCTTGTGCTAGTACTCTACATTAAAGGAGTAATTGTACTCATTAAAGAGACAGTCAGACACAGCTGGGGTGACAAAGCTGCAAAGGTCAGTGGCCACCAAGAGAGCAGAGTTGAGTCAAATCTCCTGTATGTAATATAACTGTGTGACCAATTAAGTTTATTTGCAAGCTTTTATCACTGTAACATCTTTAGAAAGGAGGTAATTTACTGCAAAGTGAAAGATATTTATTTATGATTTATCAGCAAGCTGTTCAGATTCAGAGGATTACATCCTCTCTTTTTCCTGTGTTATCTCCCACAAAACAATGACAGGAATCGGGGAAACTTGTGCTTTGCTGACTGTATGAATGAAAAGTGAAAACACTGAGGATCTAAAACTGGGTTTGAGGTCAGTGTCTCTATATTTTTGCTTAGCACAGAGAAACTCTCTACATAAATTTACAGGTGTTGTACTAAAATGTTACCTCTTTTATTTGCAGGTCTGTACTCCAGACTGATCTTTAACCTTTTCTCCAGGGCTTTGAGTCATACCCTGGAGACAGACGCTGGAAGGTGGGTCCAACCTAGGGGGAAACAGGGGGGTTGAAAGGTCAAGGGTTGCTGGGGGAGTGGATAGGGTGGTGACCTTTGACACCACAGCCACTGAGTTACAGACTCCAAGTCTTGAACCACCAATCAAGTTAAAATTACTACGTGTTTGCATCTCCAGTTTATTACATCTTAATATACAGCCAGTTTACAAGCACTCTATGAACGTGTGGGCGCGTGCTTAGTTTGTAATGTGTAATTTCCTGTCCACTGCACTGTGATGAAGCATAGACAATACATTTTTGTTGCAGACTGTCACTGGTTTAATGGATAACGGTTCTTCTTCATCTTCTCCTGGTAAGCCATGCCAGTGAGCCAACATGTGCAGAACCAGAGATACCATGAACCGGATGTTGGCCAATATTAATGATCTACACCTGTGCTTGTCCTGGTTCAACCAGTATGTCTGTGTTGAAGTAAGATGTACGTGGTTGTAATGCTGAATCTATTTATAGTTGTATCTACAGACTGACAATTCACACACATTAGTATAATGAAAATATTATTAATGGTATTTATTTTTCCTGTGCTCTTCCTACTTCAGCATGTCAACATGACTGCTGTCAACAGACATAAAGAATACTGTATAAGCCCAATGGCTTCTGTCAGTACTGAAGCTGGCCTGGACTCAGCATAAGGTAAACAGTGCTGGAGAAAATGTTTTTCTGTGACAGTTTTCTAATAAAATGCATTGTTTAAAACAAACAAACAAAAAAAGGAAATTTAGTTTTTGAAATTTATGAAGATATCTATAAAATAAAATAAACATAAAAACTGTGAATTTCATATCACACTGAAATCTGTAACTATGAACAACCAAATATTTTAATTTTGAAAGAAAAAATGCTTTTAAAATAAAAAACTGTTGGAATACATTTAGTAAACCATTGAAATTTCAACAACAGTTCCCTTTTATTTAATTGATAAAACAGTTTAATTCAAGCTTAATTGTAAAATATTTCTACAATAGTAACAGTTAACTGAAAAAAAAGAAAAACAAGCAAGTGGTGCTGCAATTTAACATAGATCTGTTTCTAAATGAGAGGTACCTTGTACAGTTTAAATAAAACGCATTATCTATCTCGTGTTATCTCTCAGGGCTAAAACATTGCTAAAAGCATTTTTATAACGTGGTTACTTTCCACTCACAGTATTTTTCATTCATTTTTTAAAAACACTTTTTTGGTCAAAGATATTAGACAGTCATGCAAAAAAATGTCACACATGAGAGCAAAAATCTTTGTGTTAGCACAGGACAGGAACCTGTGTGTGAGGTGGGTTTGTCTATTTAACTGTATGAATCCAGAATGTGAGATACAAGCAGCAGTGCAGATGTTAATTTCATGGCTCTGCCCTCATATTGTTGTTGGATCTGCAGGCTGCTGGGTGAGGCTATGAAGGCCCAGGACTGGAAGAGAACTGATCAGACCCAAGAGGGGAAGTCTATGTACATTAAGAAATGGATATTGGCTCAGAATGAAGTACTGACTCAAACACAAGTGAGCATGTTTGTTCCAGATAAGGGCCATTATTTTTCAGCCAAAAAAAAAAGTGAAAAACACAACCATGTGAGGTCTGAAGGATGCCGGCTGGTCCATGAGAACATAAAATATCAACAACGGCATGGAAAGGACCGATAACAAATTCTGACCCAAATGCTTAGTCACTTTGAAGTGTGGCAATTTTCAGGCCCAAACAAAATAGAGAAACACTTAGCTTAGGGACAATGGAGGCCGTGGCTGCTGTCATGTTTGCTACAGTCTGGTTCAGTGACTTCCATCTCTGGCTGTACAGATGAACAGTGTAAATAGGCCGCTGGGGCTGGGTGGCTAGCCACAGAAACAGCAAGTGTTTACTAATTTATACAGAGTGAGATGGGAGCAGGAGACACATGGATGCAGAGAAAAGATTTGAGGGTGAAGATTGAATGTGACCGAGCAATTCTCCTGATTACTTTTTTCTTTTTAAAAGCATTTTCTTCGCCAGCTGTTTTATCTACTACGTTCTCACTTCATGTTGACTTGTTTGTCTGTTATCACTCAGTGTTTGGCAGTTGTCTTATTGTATAATTATAGTTTTACTATTGTAAAGCAATATTATTATTAGGCTTGCGGTTGCTGTTGCTGTTACGTGACTGTTATTAATATTTTCAAACGGAGGGAGAAAAAAATAGTGCAGTGACATAACCAGCAATTCAGATATCCAGGCTTATATGTGGTGTGTGTAAGCCTGTTTTTGGCATGGCCTTAGTTCGGAGCAAATCCCTTTTGTGCGATACACAATGCTGAAACCAACTAGCTCATAATTAGCCTTGCTTGGTAAAGACCTGCCCTATGCACCTGGGGAAATGGCAGTGGAAAATGGACTACAGGATGAATAGTTATAGGTAAGTTATATAAATGTGTAGGGCATTGCTATTTGTCAGAATGCTACCCTCTGGCAAAACAAATGAAACAATACCTGTGTACTCTTTTATTTGCTGGCATTAAAAACATCCAACAAATGGTCTCATCGCTAATGTTCATGTTCAGTTATGCAAAATCTACTGTGACAGACTGACACACTCTGCCAGTAGACTTTGTCATTGCCGTCAGCTGTAATAAGTACCCTTCGCTTATCTGTTGTTTTTATGGGAGCTCTGTGTTATTATACCCCCTGGAGTATCGTAGCTGCACAATTTGTGGTCCTCCCATGTTTTTACACCCATACCAAGCACCTGGTGGGAAACTGACTAAGAATTAACGTTGACACTCAAACATGTCATTTCAATTCTTCGTGTAAGCCTCTCCTCTATACAGCCTACTTTGATCAGTAAAAATCAAACATGGCTGTGGGCGGGGGTGATGCCCTCTATGTTTCTCCATATGTAAGACCTGCGAGCATACAGCATGTGATCACTGAGTAGGAATACAAAGGATCCATTTCAACGTGTTAAACCAGCTTTAGATTTTAGGGCTCACCAAACAGCACTTCAAAGGAATTTCCATGTCAGTCATGGTTCAAAGGGCCCACATATGAAAGACTCGCTCTGTGCCCAGATTTGTGCCCCTGGACCCTACAGCTCTGATGTGCCACATAGTGGCACCCTTCTCTACTTTGATGCCCACATTGTCACCGTGTCCTATGGAAGTAATCAGGCGTACTCTGTTTATGCTTGATCACAGCACCAGCGAGAGCCGAGCATTACGACTGCCATGTCTCATATGCGACTCCTCTGCGGGTCACTGGAGATGACTGAGATCAGCCTGACATACACAGAATTCCCTGTGGGGTCTCCTGTGCAACAAGAACCAAAACAATGATGACGCCAAGGAGAAGCTGAGAGGGATGTTTTACATGAAAGATTTGCTGTGAGGGTCTGCAGTGTGCAGCGACTACAGCTCTGATAAATGTCATCTGACGACAAGCATCGGTGTGAGTAAAAGTACGAACAAGCTCCAGTCAGTTGCATTATATAAGCGAACAAAAGCTTCTTTCAACACTGATTCATGATAAAAACAACAACAAATGAGTGAATAAAACATCCTGTGCCTGTAATTATGTCAGTGAGAAGAATCTGGCTGTCCCTGATCTCCCCTCAGCACCTCCCCCTCTCCTCCATACCTTTTGCTCAGGTCACAGTTGGGAGACCATTAAGAATGCACTCCAGTACATCCCCCAGCTGAATGAGGGAGGCGTTAACACAAGCCCTGCCATTATCATCCACGTAAGTGTGTGTTAGTGTACATGTGTGTGCATTGGGGTGGTGTTGTTGTGTCTCTTGTAGCTGTATGTACTCTGCAAAGCCCTAGGGCCAGTTGAAAATGAGTCATTTCATGTCCTATTTTGGTGCAATTAACTGGTTCCTCTCCGTTAAGTTTCACTGGTCTCAATATACAAACACAGCACCTCCTGTTAGCTCTTTACGCTCTTTGGGAACAACAGGCAGGTGTGACCAGTAACAACAGGATGACAGGGTCCAACACCTCTACTCCCCACTGACTTCCTCTCACACTCCAGCTCCAAATTCAGCCACACCTACAATGACCAGGGACACAATCCCCAGTAGTGTGCCGACATACAGTAAAGGGCCCGGAAATGTGTGAGTATGTGCTCAGTAGGATGAATGTGGTTCTAAGCCCTGAGTAGCTTCACTGTGTTAATCAGTTTTACTGTGGAAATGCTCATCCACTCAAACAATTGTAGTTAACCCCAAACAGTTGCTGATAACCTCTGAGTCTAACCTGTGACCTTTGACCTTCACCTCAGGGTTCTTCAAACAAGACATTGGCCTCTAGGTATTCAAAACACAAAATTTAATGGGTTTCTTTTTTCTTACTTTGTTTTGCTTTATCCTTTTCTAGGTCTCCTTCTAAACTTATACCTTGTTCTCTCCTCTCTCTCTCTCTCTCTCTGGTTTGTGTTTAGGGCTTGCCCAAGATAATCCTTTGAGTCTGTTTCCTTTAGGGCCCGTCCTGAGTTTTCACAACACGGAGCCACAGGCTGCTGTGGCGTACACGTGAGGAGAAAGCAATGCATAGATCTGTTTTTCTAACCTACCCTGGGCTGAGTATTCTCTTGTTGTAGCTGCTGATACCTATACACTGATTTTCTCCTATTCTATCATTTCTTGCTCAAAACATTGGATTGAAGCATTTAAAAGACAGACTACATTATATTTTTCTTGGTTGAATCAACTGCACGAAAAGACAAAACATGCTACAGACTATCTTTTGTGATTCATCAGCCTATTTGCTTTAAGGATGTACGTCTTTAAAATCAAGTCAAATACACTGATTCAGCTGGACATTGCTATTTTTAGGAAACATGACTCAAACGAGACTTATAAGCATGTTTCTGACGACTATTCTAAGAAGCAAATATGAAACAATATGTGACAGCAGCAATGTGGTAAATGTGGATTTGACTCAATGAAAACTACAGTGCAGGTGTTCAGAAGAGTTTAGACAAAAGTAAACCTCTGTGCCACAGAGGAATAAACTATATCTGCCTTTAGTGGCACAGACAGCACTTGTTAATCGGATGTTAGTTCAACATTAAGTGAACATTAAGAAACATGGATTATCACTACAGTATTTTCTGAATATCTTATGTATGCAGTATTAAAGTTTTGGTTATTTGTCATATTAAAAAATGGGCATTCATATTCCACAACTTGACAAAAGACTTTTAAAATCCATCCATCCATTATTTATACACCACTTCATCCTCATTAGGGTCATGGGGGGCTGGAGTCTATCCCAGCTGACTCAGGGTGAAGGCAGGGGACACCCTGGACAGGTCACCAGTCTATCACAGGGCTACACTAAGAGACAGACAACCAAGCACACTCACATTCACACCTACGGACAATTTAGAAACACCAATTAACCTCAGCATGTTTTTGAACTGTGGGAGGAAGCCGGAGAACCCGGAGAGAACCCACGCTGCACGGGGAGAACATGCAAACTCCACACAGAAAGATCCCCTTACCGGGACGTGAACCGGGGATCTTCTAGCTGCAAGGCGACGGTGCTAACCACCAAGCTCAACACATAAAATTACAAATATAAAGTATTTATATTGCCCACATAGCACATCCTATTTCTTTCTGAACCTTCAGGCTGTCACCATATATGTTTACAGTCTACGCCCAGAAGTCAGCGAGTGATAAATAGAGGTGAGTTGTATGTGTTTTGGTGTGTAGTTCTTTGGTTGTCAAGGACATAGAGGCCATTATTTGACACCCAGGTTTGACATTTGATTTGACAATGTGCTAATCTGAACCACTTTCACATTTTCCAAAGCAGTAAAGACAAGTACGTAATGCACAAACACATCAATACAAACTGAGTCACGTCAGTTTTGTTTGTTGGAGGGATACACTTAGTAGGTTGAATAGGGTGTGGATCGTGTTGTTTTTGAGGGAGCTACAGAATAACAAGTTACATAAGTAAATAGGACAGCAAATTGTAAGTGAAGGTGCCATGCATTTCCAGATATTTACAACTGAGTAAACTTTTTTTCCACCCGTCACTCACCACTGTTGAGGCAGCCTCCCACCCTCGTAGTAAAGCCCTTTAGATCCCCTTCAACAGGTTGAGTGGTTAATGAAGGCTCAAAGAGAGTGATAGGAGGTAATAGTAGGTAATAATACTAATTGGTGGTAATCGCAGTGCTTCTAAAGTGGTATATCTGTGTGAGTAAACAGAGGCCTGCTTCTTTTCAATGAGCTCAGCCAGAGTGCTCTCTCTTTCTCACAGCACAGCCTAGCAACAGTCTGTCCTTCCATTTTACTGGGTTTTGACCAAATAACTCAGCTGGCCATCGCAACTCTGCACATTGGTCACTCATCCCTTTGTTCCCTCTCTTTTCTCCTGCTGCCAAACATACCAGATCTCCATGTGTCAGAGGGAGAGGAAGGAAGGGAGAGAGGCTTTGCACGTGATTTCCAGAGAGCAGAATGAACCCCATGCTGCCCTCCCATTTATCTGACCCACATTAAGTCATTTCTGTCTTATTCTGTTCCTCCCTATTAATGGCTTTGAAATCATCTTGTAATTTGAAAAAAGTGACAAAAGCGAAACTGATGATGTAGCTTTTGTCAGGGTTAAGAGTAGACCATTCCCTTATGACAGAGACAACTTTATACCCTCAGCAATACTTGAATGAATAATTTTCAAAAGACTGATACCACTCAGGTCGGGATGTTAAATATGTAGCTGTTTTATGCTCACAGTCGCATAAGGACTGAGGAAACTGCTCATCTGCCTACAGTCAGCTGTAAATGTCACTAATTAATGCATTATTTCTTGTTTAAGAAATGTTCACTGCATCATTTCTTTGGCTATACTTTAACCTTTATTTAATCGAGATATCCCTTGAGATTAGAATCTCATTATCTAGGGAGACCTGTCAAAGACGGCACACCATTATAAAGTTACAGAACATTTTCAAATTGAACATGACAAAAATTGACAAAGGACAAAGTAAAGCACATTAAAACAACACTCTTCAGTTACACATCTTATGAGCAGAGCTTTGAGCTCTCCCAGTGAGACAAGCCCACGAAGCGTTCTGAAGGTTATTTCATGAACAGGGAGCAAAATAGAAGAAGGCTGTTCTACCAAGTTCAGAGCAAATCCTGGGCATCCTGTGAAGCAGACATCAGCAAGACTTAGAACAGTTGTTGGTAAGTGATAGGGAATTGCATAAATAAGAAGAGAGCATTGCTTTGCAGCGAAAAGAGATACCAGTGCTGTGGTCTCCATGGACTTAATGAAAGCTAAGAAACCACATAATAAAATGCACAGAGATCTGTGATGCAGAGCCTGGGCAAGGACGAGTAGAGGCAGCAGCATGCATATAGATAGATAGCTTTTCCCTAACTCCTAATTTAAGGTAGGGTCTAATTTGAAAATAAAAAACCCAGTTTAATCTTTACTTTTTTCATTAGGTGCTCAGTGTTTACTCTAAAACTGAGCCTATTATCCAATCAGACACTCAAGTACTTGTTTGAAGATACTTGTTCCCAACCTAGAGGCAGAATGCTAGCAGGATCATGTCTTTGTTCTAAGCTACACTAGCCAAGGGCTGTCATCTCAAACTCAACGGAGCAATATCATTTATCTGTTATCATGTCTCCAGCCAGTTGGACACGTCTGGAACGTCTCCAGCAACAGGTGCCCAGGATCACTCTCAACCTGTCTGTCCCTGTTAGCCAAGCACAATTTTTCCAAGTACTGCCGTCAGAACGATGTCAGAGTGATATCAACCTTTTCATCTAACAAGAACGTAAGTGCATGATTTTCCCGAAGTCGTGAGCTATTTCTTTAAGCTATCACGCACTTTACATGCCTCTCATTATTTCCTCCCACCCTCATGACGTGTGTCCCAAATGTCCAGTGGCTCACACAACAGCTCCAGCCTCCAAAGGTTCCCCCACAACACAAGAAACTAGGCCTTGGCTCAGGGGTCCTGGGGCCCAGGGGTGCCTTGTTTTACCAACAGCTCCAGTGCTGCAGGAAAAGGCAGGATGCATTGTTATGCAACAATTTAGTGAGGATGAATGGCTTCAGCACAGGCCCAGTGAATACCGATGGAAATGATGGGAAGAGAGCAGCAGCTAGGTTAATCCCAGGGGTACTCCCCTTGGGACCTTGCCCTCATAGCTCCTCCATGTTTTCTTTTCAGCCTTAAATGTGTTGTATCGGAGACGGCGAAGGAGCAAAAAAGTAGGAGGCTGGGTTCTGTAGGATTCAGCAGCAGAGCCGGCTGGCTAATCCCTGCAGCCCCAACACGAGGACTCGCCAAAACTCTGGGGGTGCCCTCGCATTTTCCTACTTTGTTAACCTCTCAACTGCTAATCTTCTCTTAAATTCCTCCTCTCCTCTCCTCTCCTCTCCTCTCTGCAGGCATGGCTGCCCTCAGGCACTGAGCCAACAGTCCCACTGTCTCTCTGTGGGTGACATCACTGGTTGGCACAGAGAAACAGGGGGGGAATAATTAGGTTTAGATGGCTGAAGTAACTGTCTGTGTGTGTGTGTGTGTGTGTGTGTGTGTGTGTGGTGATGTAGAAGGGAATTTGCAAGGCTTGAAGCACGTACATGTTACAATCAATACTCCAATGGAAAAACAAGGGAAATAACGCAGTTTGTTGGAATGCATTAACTGGAGGGTTTAATACAGAACAGGCAAAGAAAAAAATGCATCCTGTTGAGAGTGTGT